TTTAGGGAGGACATCGATCGAGGCACAAGCCCCCTGTAGAAGAGATGGAAGATGGGCTCTGTTTTGTTTTTTATGTTTATCTTTTTGGGTTTTCGTTGCGTTTGGTCTCGTTGAGGTCTTTGCGACTGTGTCACACAGATCCATGTGTGGCGGACAAGCCTGCACAGACGCTCTGCTTCGTTCCCTGTTATAGAGAGGATACATCCTGGTGTGCTTGGCGTTCGGCTCAATGTCCATCACTGCTGACACCATGGAGCCTCTACTCTTCCTCTGTTATAGAGAGAGGATGCATCCTGCTGTTTCCCTTTGCCTGTATGGCCACCACTGCTGCAACCATGCCCATTTCTTATTGCGGCAAGTGGGGGTGGCAAAGAAAAAGAGGTTGCTGAAGTGTGGATGGAGTCTCGAGTGTTTTGTGTAGATGGCTGTGGAATAAAGGATCGAAGGTTGGGAAGAATAGGTAATGTCTCGCTTGGAATGCAAAGTGGGGTCATGACAACTGTATTTAGGACAATTTTAAGGTACAAAAATAACCGTATGCTTTATGTTTGTTGGCTGGTGGTCGTCTCGGACAAAGGTACCTCCCTCTCATCATCTTTCTGGATTTTATTTTTTCGAAAGGGTTTTGCTTGTCTCGTGCAAAGATAGCCCACTTTTCTAGAATTTAGTCGAAAGGGTTTGACCGCCCTCGGTAGCATTCTGAGTAAATTGGGGCACTGAACCTGATTGAGGAAACGGTCGCACAATGTATTCAGGCTACGGGCCTCGCGCCACTACTTACCGCACCCGGACTTGCGCAGTCAGTACTTATCGCCACGATAAACTCACCGGAAAGCATCACCACTGCAGGCGCACCGTTAAAATGCACTGTTGGTGGGCATGCCACAGCCGAACGGTCCAAACCGACCGTCAGAACGGAGGAAAACTCACCCCATCCGGAGGGGTGAATGCTGAAAATGGCCTCCGCCACACATGGCCATTTGCAGGTGGGAAAAGTACCTGTGAGGTGAGTACTCCCCACACCTGAGGCTCTTCACTATTTTCACATTGAGCTTTGTAGGAAAGGGTGATCGAGCGAGTGTGGCGGAGGAATACTCACCAAAACCGGGCGGGGTGAGTAGTGCAGCAAGACCGTACAACAAAATTGGGGAATGGCATTTCAGGGCACGCTCACACAGGGATGTTTTGACTGAAACGTGGCAGTCATTGTGGACAGATGGACGCTAGAGCGCGCACTGGCTTTTTTTCTTTTCTTTTCTTTTCTTTTTCTTTTTTAACCGCCACGAGGCCCTGCGAGTTTCGGAGGCTCGGTAATGCTACAAAGGCCGCCGATGCAATTTATTAACAACGGCCTGGACCCCAACAATCCGCGCGAGTAGGTTGTATGGCCACTTGGGCCTACACTGTGAAAGGTAGTGGTGGTGTAACACTGGGTGATTCTAGGGTTAGACTCATTCACAAAGTCCTTGTGTGATTGTTCACACAGATCTTCTCTTGGCCCAAAGGCCAACTGATTTCCTTCAGGCCTATGGATGTGGATCATCCTGCCAAGCCTATCACTACCATATGACATGCAGCACAGGGTTAAGGATGGGCGAAAACAAGTTGGCTTGTTCTACCACAGGGGTTTGTGCCAGTTTGCCGCGCTGCAGTAGAGCTGTCTTATCCGTTTCAACGACCCCTATTTCTTCTGCGGAGCAGTGCTAGGAGAAAAGGGCACCTCCCGCACACACCTCAATCAGATGGTTGCCATGTGATAGGTTTGTTAGGTTGTAGGTTTGTTATCAGATAGTGGAAACCCTTGTCTTTGGGGGAACAGAAGACGAGGGTGGGGTATCCTGAAGGGCAGCTGGACAGATAACGATAGGCCCGGCTGGAGTGCGCTCTTGCTGGTTATACCATAGACAAATAAATTGCTTTAGCACACTGCCGGGAAGCCCTCTAGCACAGCATACAGGGCGCTCTTGTAGCTGTAGTGCAGAGAGAATTGCGCAGGGGTCTCCGGGAAACAAGAGCGATATTGAGAGAAAGGGGCAAAAGTCCTGCTTTTTAGGGTTCCTGGACATAGGCTTAGGTGCTATGCCGCTTTTTAGGGTTCGCATTCCTGACGTCATAAGTGCTGTAGCTGGTGTCGAATCTGCGGTTAGGGCAGTGTGAATGAATGCGCATGTAGGCTTAGGTGCTATCCCACTTTTTAGGGTTCTCATTCCTGAGGTCATAAGCGCCGTGGCTGGTGTCGAATCTGTGGTTAGGGCAGTGTGAATGAATGCGCATGTAGGCATAGGTGCTATGCCGCCTTTTAGGGTTCTCATTCCTGAGTCATAAGGGCCGTAGCTGGTGTCGAATCTGCAGTCAGGGCAGTGTGAATGAATGCGCATGTTCTTCATGCAAGGATGAAGGGGAGTGACTTCAGAGAGGGGGACCTCCTGACCATGTAACCAATGGGGATCTTCTGCCTTCCCTTGTCAAAGAAACCACCCGATGATTAGCTCCTTAGTTGCACTTGTTCGCCTTCCAAATGCATCCGTAATCCAGTGCCTGGGCGAGGATAAGCTTTTTTAGAGAAGATAAACCCGGAGCCATGACTCCTTATCAGTGTGAGGGTTGTGAGGCCAAGCCGGGGTGGCATTTGAAACCGTGGACAAGGCCACAAACTGGCCTCATTTCTCTTTCTTGGTTACCCGGGGGCTCCAACTAGCAAGGAGGGTAAATGAAAAAGGAGAAGTGGTTCACTACCTGACTTTAGGGTTATTGAAGAGGCACCCACACAAACTACGTACGTGAGAAGGGGCGTCGGGGTCGGCCAAATATTCTCATGGTGTGCCGCAATTGCAGTGCGAAATTACGAATGCCAATTCGTTGTTACAGCTAAAAACTTCATCGAGTCAGGCCATTTTGAAGCCTAAACTCAACCCTAATTTTCGGCGTATCTGAGATGTAGTACCGATGAAGCACTTCAAACCCTAAATGCAACCCTAACTTTGCATTCCTGACCAAGTCTTCTGGCGGTTGTGTGTCTCTGGAGAGACATGCACATCCTGAATCTTGGCCTCTGGTAGAAAAGGGGGGCATTGTGTCGTGTCCGTGGATGATATAGATGACGCAGTAAACACATGGCTATGGTCAACCTATCTGCTGTATGGTGTTCCTCTTCCAGCTGAAAAAATTGTGACCTACCTGGCTTCGACAGCGTTGTTTGGCAAAATGATGCGAGGTTTCTGTGCAGCACAACGGTCATGATATGGTAGGGTTGTTGTCAGATGTTGAGCAGTCGTCATGGCACCAGTGGTCCCCATCATCAGAACAAATTCCCCTACCTTCTTGCCCCGAATACAATGAGTACGGTCATTATAGCTGTATTGGGGGTATCTTTCAGTCTACATACAGCTATAATGACCGTACGTTGTATTCGGGGGAAGAAGGTAGTTCTGTGAGTGCAAGCCCTTGATAGGGTTTTTTAAAGTGGGAATGTGCCGTCGAGCTGCCACCATAAACAATTGGTAGTTGTGCGCCTCTGAGCAGAGCATTTCTGAGCAGGTTCCAGCCTATTCCCAATGTGAACCCTATTATTAGCACACATCTCTCTCTCTCTCTCTCTCTCTCTCTCTCTCTCTCTCTCTCTCTCTCTCTCTCTCTCTCTCTCTCTCTCTCTCTCTCTCTCTCTTGCGCGCTCGCTCTTTGTGCCAATCAGAGAGTACGATGATGACTGGGTTTATATTGGGAATGGACTGGAAGCACAACCGTCGACTCCAGGAGCTGCTGGCATAACGCAAATCTGTGGGTGTTCTGTGCCCCTATGCCAGAGCTTGTCTGAGCAGGAATGAAACGTGAATAGCGCAAACGGGACAACGTGGTGACAGTGACGGAACTGTTTTCTGGAAAGAGGTCCAGAGTGCTGATCTCTAGGGAACCACTTTCCGAAATGTAGACTGTGGATAAACAGAGCAGAGAAAATGGAGCTGATATGTGTGCCCTAGTGCGACCTAGAGAGAATGTCATCCACGCGTGGTCCCCCGGCTCAAGGATGAGACTCACAAACCCTAAACCCACTCCATCTCTTGATGGAACTTGGATGCCAGGCCTATCTTTCTTCCATCAGCTGCCATTTCGTCAAAATGGACATCTTTTATTTTTTGAACGAAATTGAAACCGAGTTTTTTGGCCGAGAACTCGTCAAAATTTGCTGTTCCTGAGCGCTGGACCCCCTGGCTGTACATGGACCTAGCTTGAGACCAGGCACCTCCAGGCAGGACTGCCTGGAGGTGCCTGGTCTCAAGCTAGGTCCATGTACAGCCAGGGGGTCCAGCGCTCAGGAACGTCAAATTTTGACGAGTTTTCGGCCAAAAAATCCGGTTTCAATTTCGTTCAAAAAATAAAAAATTGTCCATTTTGACGAAATGGTCGTTCATCTGAGCCGAAATGTTAGACCTACATTGAGATTTTGCTTCTGATCTATGTAACACGGGGTAACCCCAAAACCAGCCCCAAAGCTGTGGCATGTTTCGACCTTGAAGGGCAGAATGTGAAACTGGCTCTACCAGGTGGAAGCTTTCGATAAGAAGTGGGATGTGCAGTACTCTCAAGCAGCTTGAGTAAGGGGCCATGGTTGCCCTTTTGCCACTGAAACATTTGGAAAAGGTGGAGCCTTGGGGAATTCGATTCAGGGTGTGTAAGAACGGCGATACTTTTGGGCCAGCTCTCCTTTCTTAGACAGGATCGGGAAGGGTGTGTATAGACGGCAGTGAGTCCGGTTACTGGAGCACACTTCATGATTGGTGACAGCACTGACAGGTAACTTAGGATCCCCAGCTGTTTTCTTTTTCTTCCTTTCGGGACCCCCCCGACTATGATTGGGTGTCGTGTGTGTGGGTGATGATATGCTGAGTCAGTCTGCTTGTGCATGCGTGCTGAGTCAGTCAGTCGACCTGTGCCTGCATGCCTTCGTTGACACACATGCTGAGATTTTGTGGGGTCGTGGTCGTGTCTCGGATGGAATGCAGGGCTTGGGTTTGTATATTGTATGGCGCGCAACACAAATAGACTCCCGTGATTCACGAGGAGGGGGTCTGGGGAAGGTATTACGCCCCCGGTCTGGATCTGTTGGCGATCGGCTTCATGGCGCGGAGGACATAGATTCGCTCCAACGCACACTGGCGAGGGAGATATTCATTTCATCTGATGGCAATCGAAATGCCATCAGCTGCCTGCCTTCTGAGAAAAGGCAGGCAAATACATCACTCACTGGCTCTCTTGACATCCCGGGGTTACTGACGGCTCCAGACATATGCACAGGCATACCGCATGGATGGCTTTGCGGAGTCGGTTGGCGGGGGAGGGGGGGCGAGTGAGGGGTGGGGGACGAGCGGGGTGACAAAACTGGAGCCGTGTAGATTGTTGGGTTGTTGATTTTTTGTGAGTGCTTTCATCTTTTCTGTTTTCCATTCTTTTGCTTGTAAAAGTTGTATTGTATGTCCACTGATTGGTGCACACGCATCTCTGGCCACTGATTGGTGGGGGACGCATCTCTGGCCACGATGGCAGCAGCAGCAGAGGGAAGAGCGACGATGGCATCAGTCTCTGACGTTGCGAGACCAGGTCGATGCAAACTGTAGAGAAAGGAGGGTTGTGATTACTATGTATGATGCTGTGAGGCTCACTTGTGGGGAAGGGGAAGGGCCAGCTTACGGATGTGGGATCTGGATGCTGCTGGGTAAGCAATGGCGGCGGGGGTGTGCAGCTGTGTCCATGATGGCTGGTGAGTGGCGCACCACTGATAAAAAATTGGGTTTGTAATTAGGGTGAAACAGATATCAAGGTTC